TCTTGTGTGGATATGTGTTACGTGTATTGACTTCTGCGTAGTTGTGTTTCTCACGATGTAACTGTGAGTGTACCTTTGTGAGTTGATTGCTCTGCTTTGCTGCTCTCGGTTGTTACTCCCGTTCTTGTTCGCATGTTGATCTTAGGTTGCGTCTTATGACTTTTACGTGCTTCTTCCCCCTGCTGCCTACCCTTTCTTCATGCTTGTTGCTTTTGCGAATTTCGGGTTGTTTTTTTCGAGTTTATCCATAAGTTGTTTAGTATCTTTCCTGATTGCAAATGCAGCGTGTAGCCAAACCCGTATGCCTTCTACAAATCCGGAGGTTCGCTGACAAGCACGAATTTACTTCGCTTAAGTGAGCCACCACCTTCTGCACTAGTGCAGCATTTCCTGTTGCTGCTGTAGCCCTACGGCGAAAAGCAGGAGCAGAAGCGGATGCCGCTGATTTAGTAGTGGCAGTGAATTAGAACAGCCAGGACAGCGGTAATAGATGATGATGACACAAGTAGTTGATGATCTGAAGATCTGGTCTTGTGGCTTTTGTTTTCGACAGCAAAGTAGAAAAGTATTTAACTAGGCTGACTGAGAACGCGAGAGCATATAATGGACAGGAGAGTCCGATCTTTCTTCGGGTACGTCTGCCCATTAACAGCATATCAGGAGCAGCTGCTCCCTCTCCCCTCTGGAGCCGCTTCAGGTGCCTTGAAAAGCCTCAGTAGTTACTTTTGTTGCTGATTCGCGTCTATTTGCATCGGCAACTGCTGCGGGCGTGTTTGCGGCTTTTGGTTGTTGCATTTGCTGGTGGTGAGTCAATTTTTTTTGCTTTGCTACTGCTACTGCTGCGTTGAATGTAGGCGCTGGAGTGCATGGGATTTGTGCTGATAAGGAGCCGCGTGAATGCCTGTGTGGCGTTCCACAGTATGCAATCCGCAGCACAGGGTGAGAGAGTTCGACGTCTTTTTGAAGTATACAGGAGCTGTTGGGACTCAACAGCAAGCACCTCCTTACCTGGTGAGCTTGCATTGGCAGCCGTGACAGGCGCTGCTGCGACTGCGCGAGTCAGCAGTGTGTGCGGAGATGAATATGGCGTAACGTTGGCTTCGCCTGATGGTGACTGTTGCTCCCTGTTGGCTGTTGCTGCAGTGACGCACTGGGATCTGTTATGCTGCCCTTCTTCCAGCATCCCTGCCGCTGCTAGTCATGCTGCTTTCCGTGCAGTAGCCGATGTTTCTTGGATGTGTGCATGAAGCGTTTTCTGTGGGCATATGCGGGCAGTTATAATCGGCCTTGTTGCCAAAGACTCTGCTTTTTCTGCTGCTATTCTTTGTTTCAGATGGCGAGGCCTCAGGAGCAGGGGGCGACGGGCTTGGAGGTGAACTGATGGAGGCTGAGGGGGAGGGGGATGACGATGAAGCTTCAGCGGTGTCCTCGCAGCTGAGTTCCACCGTGCGGAGTGTGGGTTCGAACAGCCGTAGCGCCACTTCAACACTGTTGCCTTTTTGGAAAGGCAGAAAGACTCCCTCTTATGATTCTTTCGAACCATCTTCGCATGCTGCGCCAGCACCAGCCGCTGCGGTGGCTCCAGGTACTGGATCCTGGCTGCAGCAGCAGGAGGGGGCAGTGGCTTTTGGTGGACCTGCTGCCAGGAGGAAAACTGTTGTGCGGTTGCCCGCAAGGCCGGTCTCTGTGGCAGGGCAACCAGCGGTGACAGCAGGTACGACGGGGTCTACAAGCTCAGGGAGAGGATCAGGAGGTAGCAAAAAGCAGCCGTACACACCCAGCTACTTGGGATACATTCCTCAGGGGATTGAGCTGCCTTTATCGGGTTCGAAGAGAGGCTTGGGACCTATGCCGTATTCAGAGCAGGAGCAGCAGCAGCTGCCGCTGCCGACCAAGCGGCAGCGGAGGTCAGCAGCTAGAGAGACTGAGCTTGCTGCTTCCCTAGCGTATACTCACTCTCCTAGCGCCCCTTCTCTCGGCCACTCCACTCAGGGACCATCACTGCAAATGGGGACTGTAGGTTTTCAGGTTCCTGAGGCTGGCAGTGCTCTAGGCGAATCCCTACAGACGCCGCAGCAGCTGCAGCAGCAAGCACAGATGCAACAGCTGCCGCTTGAAGGAGTTATTCCGGGCTTTTCCGGGGCAGCAGTTGGGACGTTTTCACAGCAGCCGTTTGCTGCTGCCCCGGCAGTCGCAGTAACTGGCAGTGCTGCTGCGCTCGAGGGGACTTTTGAAAAAACTAGGCGCGACAGAAAGGGGAAAAGCTCCAAGTCAAAGAAGAAAGCACGAGAGGAATCTGTGCAGCACACGCTGCAACCGTATGAGCAGCAGCAGAAGCAGATACCGCACCAGCAACTGCCAGTGCGACCTCTCCCAGACTACTCCGAACATATGCAGTCTTTTTCTTCGGCACATATGGGGGAAGAAGAAACTCAACGGCCCCAAGGGTTAAAGCCTCTGCGTATTCGCTTATCTTTTGGCGCATCCCAGCAACAACAACATCAGCAGCAAGCAATGAACACAGCCACTACACAGCAGCATCATGTACACTTGCAGCACACACAGCCACTTTTCGGGGCCGGAAGGGAGCCCGAGCTGCAGCAACAGCAGCCAACGCCGGAGCTGCACCAACAGGCTGTCCACGGACAACCGATACACTCAACGTTGCAACCGTCACCGTTAGATCAGCAGCAGCAGCAGCCAGCTGCTGCAGCTGCTCCCCCCAAATTTCGCATTCGACTTCCAATGCAGCCCTCTTCTTAGGTGTTGTCCAGGATGACGATGCCTGCAACTGCACAGCAACAGAAGAAGCTGCTGCCGCTGTTGCAGCAACATGAATTTAGAATGGCTTTGAAACTTGCAGGAATAAATTTGGGCATTTTTGGATTACGTGTAGTTTCTACATAGCGATGCTTTATTGCCTTGTGCTGCAGCACGCCTGCCGACATCTATGCACCCTCAAGAACTTAGGGCTTAGACTTACACCTTCATGATTCAAAACTTAGTGATAAACCTACGACAGATGAACCAACAAAGGAAGGTGAATGCAAGACGGCGCGGAGCCACCAGTATGAGAAGGCGCTAGTGCACCGAGCAGTGCATCCTAGAACGAAGTACTTGTGTGACAAAGCAAAAAAAACAAAGCATTAGGGAGTGACCACGAGAGCGTCAGTCTATACATGCTGGGGAGTTACATTCAGATATAGGCAGCGCGATATACGCATATGGTGCATCAGCATGCAAATACTGGTGTACCCACCGGCATACAAGTAAATGAGCGTCACGAAAATCCGCAAAGCTGCATCTTCGTAGGCTTTGACGTACGTGAGTTTTTACTTAACCCGCACGCGTAAGCACGATGCAGACGACGTACGCCATGAACGCGAAAGTACACAGGTGCATACACAGGTCACTTCTCTTTCGAATACGTTATTTTGCAAGTTGCGCGTCATTGGATGCGTGCGCAAATGTGTATGCCGCATTCACGTAACAAATAGCTGCAGCTTGGGCTCTACGCATGTAGCTTTCTATGTTTGCACACTTGAGCGTTTGTTTTGTGTGTGCGCACATTTGGTCACTCGCTTTGAATAAAGGGTGTGAGCTGCAGTGCGAGTACATGCTAGCGAATTTCGTGGGCAAGTTTGTCCGCCTAAAGGCAAGTATCTCTAGGAATTTGCAGGCTGGTCGCACGCCTGGTGGGACTGAAATTAAGCGCCCGCTGTTCCGTCAAACTCCTTTGTAGTGACGCCTAGATAAGTACCCAAGAAATTCACAGTCGAGGCAGCACTGTCACTTTGGTCCCTCCGAGTATCTACCAGTGACAATCCCTTCGACGTCTTTCGTGGGAAACTGGCGTGCATTCTAAAAGTCCCCTGCAATGTGTCCGGTGAATTAATCTCACGCATTACCGTTCTTCGTGGGGTGTGCCGTTGTAGCACCTGCTCATCGCTTCGGCTGCTAGTGCTACCATTTGGGCAAGCTTGCACAGTGTTTGTCTCTGCTGCTTCACTAGATGCGAGGAGCAATAAGTGAACGCCTCCAGTGCAATCGCACCTTCGTCCGTCTGCTCTGGTCCTTCGTATTGATACCTCCGCTGCCGTTCTTGTTCGTCAGTCTCTGCAGCCACTCTTTCGACTAGACGCATTTGTGCTTCTGCCATTGCGTCTGCCTGAGTACGCATCTGTAATTTTATGGTTGAGTATCCAGGATAATAGCTGTATTGCTATATCAGGATGGCCACTTGTGACTTTGACGATGATAAGGTCAAAGGCATATCTATCTACATGTATGCATAACTTCGTGTACAAGATGTTGGCACTTGTTTATTGATGCACGTAGCGCCTTTCTAGTTGTTAAAACATAATAAGTGCGACTAGTCAAGTGCACAAAGAGGATGTACACGAAGATACCGGGTTAAACACACGCCACCTGCTGCTTCACGGTATTAAGTCCAGTGGCTTAAATGCGTTCTAAGATGGAAGAAATACAAGTCCCGCGCTACTACCGCGGCTGCTTTTGCATGTATGCAAGCATGCATACACTGGTGCTTCCTTCCCTTGCCAACAGCACAATTACCCGCTCAACGGGCAGCGCGCTTGTCATTTGTCACTTTGCCGCTTTGCGTACGGGCAAATGAGCGGCAGTCGTGCGAAGGGTTGCCTCCATCATGGGTCGGACAGAGAAACATGGGCCACCGAATCCTGAGATCTGTACAGCGGTGAATTGCTGCCTGGCTACTTGGGTAGGCAAGCATGTCTCCAAGAAGCAATGAATGCAATGCGGTGCCTGCACAGCCATTCCTCTTGTTCCAGCCACTAAAGATGCTCTGAGATGCAATCAGCTGCATAAGCAACGGGAGCCAAAAAAACTCTTGGGGCATCAAAACAGATACCAAAGGCTCATGGAGGCTGCGAGATGTGCTGCTCATTCACCGCGCCCGCAGCAGCGGCTGAGACCGAAAACCAAGGATGCTGCAGTGCAGCCTCAGCTGACAACCTCTCCTGCACATCCGCATCCATTCGACAACCTACGTAAGGCAACGTAAGCCCAATAGATTCACGGCGCCCTCCACAAAGCCTCCGAGACACCTAAGACATCTCTTCTGTGCTGTAGCCGTCCCTATGCGTGGACATATTAGTCCATACGAAGCTACATTATGTACAAACCTAAGCAAGTATGCACACTTGTATAATTAATCACCTTTATACTACTGGGCACCCCGAGAAGCACGCCTAAACAAAAAAGTTCGCAGAGCCATGGCTGCTGAGCAGCTTTCCTTTTAAAACCGTGCGGCTCATGAACATGACTCACTTGGGGGTCAAAAGCCAGAAGCTTCCTGAGAAGATCGCGAGCTAACGGATTGGGCACCCCGACGCCTGCAGGGTCTCGAAACCTCAGTATTTCTGCGAACTGCAGGGATCAGCAGTGCATATAAGAGCAACAAATGCAGCCAATATTAGCCACCTCAAGCGAATGCTACTGCATCGGAAGCACAAATTACTTCAGCAGCGGCAGAACACAGAGCGACAGAAACACGACTTAAGGGGAAGACCGCTGAGTACCAGCGTCACCATAAAGCGACACCGCCTAACAGTGGTGTTCTGAGAGGGATGTTGATTTTTGGTGATGCGGCTGCTTGGCGATGCCCCAGTTCGATACTGTTACCATCTCATTTCTTTGGCCACGGCTACCGTTTGCTCCTGCCCCTTTGCACTATGTTTGACTACTGTTGCTCAACAGCAGTCATGGCAACAACAAAAGCACCGAAGAGCAGAAAGCGGCGACGTAAGCATCTTACGAGGGCTTCATCGCACTCTCGGTACTGTTGTCTGTTTTGCGCTGTCTGTCCCTTTTGTGTAAAGAGGTATTGGGCGTCATCGTCATCCTGATCTAAGCTAAAGAGGCCTGCTGTTTGCTGCCGTTGCAGTGCCTGCTGCTGCTGCCGCAGCACCAATTCGCTCCCCTCAGCAAACCCGCGAACTCGGGAGATAAGCGCAAGCAAACCATCCCGATCCAGCCCCTTTTCCTAAAGGGAACGAAGCAATAACAACAGTGGCAAACATATCACCAGCAGCTGCAACAAAAGTAAATGCGCCTCAAACGTGAACACAAGCGCAAACACGGGCAAATGCGTGTACATATGGTTTATACTGTTTCATTCAAAGCTGCTCAAATCCCAAAAAACGACGCCGCTGCAAAGTAACTGACGCTTCCTGTTCGTTGGTCTTTTGCCAGACCTTTTTCTTCTTCTTTTCTTGCGTCTCAACCTTTTCCACGTCACCTTGAAGAAGTTCTTTGCTGTGGTGCTCTGTCGAAGTCGCTTTTTCCCTATATGGTGCCAGCCAGTTCAGGTAGAAGCTCTCAGCCGCAGTCACTACAGCAGACTTTAGTGAAGCGAAAGCGAAGGATTGGGATGTAGTAGCGACAGCCGTTGGCGAAGCAGCAGCAGGCAAGCGATCAGAAGCCCATGGAATCAAGCATAGGTCACTCAGCGCCAGAATCTGCAAGTCGTGACGCAACACCTCAGGCGGCTTGCCCTGATAAGCTTGGGACAGCTGAAAACAAGAGCAAAGCAAACGCTCCCATATGTAAACGCCGTGCATGGCAGCAAGCCCAGAAGTACCAGCAACACTACAAATTTAAAAAGCAGGAGCAACGCGTTCATACTTTAGCCCGTCGCCTGTCGTCTATAGGTTCCAGAGGTGAGGGAGTGCCCAGCACCAACTTGAGAAATATCATTCCAACACCCCACATGTCGTGCGAAGGTGGTCTATGCAGCAAGTCTCTGTCGGCTTTTGTTTTGCTGTTGTTGTTGTCGCTGCTGTTGGTGTATTTACTGCCGGCGCCGTTGTTGTTGTGGCCATTACTGATGTTGCCATTGCCTCCGTTTTGGCTGCCATTGCTGGCGCTGCAGTCTCCATCACAGTGCTGTTTCTCTTGTTGATCGTGGTAGTAACGCTGCTTGTGGAGGCTTGCCTTCAGCTCCGCCTGCGCTGCGGCCTGAGCCCAAACTTCTGGAGGCTGGTAACCGTCAGATTCTTCTAGTATTGAAGGGGCTTCTTCTCCCCACAGAGCCTTTAAGGCTGTGAAGAGGTAGCAGACGCACGAGCTAGTGATTAAATGGCGCTGCCTTTGTGTAGATTACGCATACGCAAGCTTGTATACAATAGGGTGTATCTAAAACCATATATGTATGCAAACTGCCTTTACTCGCCTGCCTAAAAGAAAGCGCCCTAGAAGGTAACTAAACTGTATAATTTAGTCACAAGGGCTCCACGCGTAGAGCTCCACAGACACAAGTATGTAGCTTGGGGCAAAAACCGATGGACAGCCCTCTTATGCCTCCTATCGCTCACCAAGGGCCAGGGGCGATGCCGTGTCGTTGGTGACAGCGCTGCCCCAGTCGACCAGTCTAACAGCAAGGGGCAGGGATGGACGAAGCAAAACGTTTTCCTACGCAGCAACAGCAGTGGAAGCAGCAGTGGTGACAGCAGCAGTAGCAAATGCTGCACAAGAAAGAAGATGGCATACACGCGGCGAGTACTGAAGGGCAAATAAAGACGTTGAGTATTCAGTTTGCCCGTAAGTATGGCTCTCAAATTTCCTCTCTATCTTTCCGCGCCTCTACCTGTCACTATTTTTGCCTCGATATCTCTGCATGTCTAAATATTTGTCCTCCTGTCTCATCCTCATTGTTCTAGGAGACCACAGCCTATCGTATCACTCACCAGCTTGATGTCTCTGTGAGTTATCTGCCGCTTGTGAGTTTCCCGCAAGGCTAGCAGTAGCTGCTGCAACACCTCACGGATGACCAGTAGCAGCTCGCTCCCGCTTTCCCGTAGCTGCAGAAGCAATGGAAAAAACGGAACATCCGTTGCTGCTGCTGCTACTGCTGCTGCTGCGAAGTGCCGCACATGACTCGGCGGAGGTCTGATGCGCGCGGAGGCCTTCAAGTACCACCAGAGGGCGTTCTGAAAGCATCAGCAGGAGCCGGAAGTGGAAAGAAAGAAGTAAAAGGGTATTTGCAGCAAATGCTGTGTTAAAGAAGAGCCGCAGCAAGTGAATGCGCCACTAGTATAATTGCAACCAACAAGTGTGCAGCCGAAGAAACAAAGAACAAGGCAATAGCGTGAACAGCGTTGGACAGATATCGCAGCTGGTATCGCTAGTACTGCTTCAGTCACTGCCCCTCTTGCTGTTGCCGCTGTTAATATTGAAGCAATCTGTTGCCATTGGCAGACGAGAGGTGACTGCAGCCCACAGGTTCTAAAAGGCCGCTGCCTCCTTTGTCTGCAACAAAGAAGAGGTGGGTGAGGCAGACACCCTCATTAGCGAACACCAGCCACTGGCCGCAGCAGCTCTGTCTCGCGCTCATCGCCGCAGTTGTTAAGTCCTCCTTAGTCATTTCAGGGAGGAACTTGGCGGCTTCAGCAGCTGCAGCTGCTGACTCCTCTACAGTTGCGGCGCCTGTTGCTCGCGGTGCAAAGGCACCCGGCGAGGCAGCAGATGGGTATGCGGGAAGGACCTCCACGAAACGGGAGATGTGAGGCACGTCACGCAGCAGCAAGCCTGTAGACGCGGCAGTTACAATTAAAACGTCAGGCATGGTAGTAGTTAGAGCAGGAGCAGCTCCAACAGTAGCAGCTACTGAAGACGGAACCGTATCTCGTGTGCTCAAATAGACGTGATTCTGCAAACCGCAGCAGACCCACCAAAAAACACCTCGCGGGCAAAGCCTCTCTGTGCGCGCTGTCTCTGTTGTCCATGCTGCTTCTGGCCTGCAGGGTCCCCAAGCGCCGAAAAAGTATCGCAGCGCATCCGTTTAAGGACTGTCTCGACAAACGGCGCCTCGCTGTCGAGAGTTATCGCACTCCAAACCTATGATCCAAAATAACAGCTGTTCGGAACTCATAATTACCAGAGCAATAGCGGCAACAGCAATCCCAGCGTAATTTGCAAATAATCAACTGTAGCCAGGAACTGGCAGCACCTCACCTCTCCGTAGGCACCCCCCCCTAAACGCCCAAAAACTCGGTAGCGGGAACCGGAACCACTGCTGCTACTCCTGCTGTTCCTGCTGCTGTCCTGTGGTGACGGCAGGGATGGCCAGTGAAACCAAAATGGCAAGGCACGAAGAATTCTGCACAAGCGCACACGTGTTTCTTTCGCGTTGCGTTTGACTGTCAATATGAGAGTATACTTCTACAAATGGGGCGACGTTTCATTGAGCAACTACATGGGGCAGTCATTTTGCATCCTTCTATCCCCGTCTCTGTTTGTGCTTTGTCCCCCATCCTCTACCCTCGCCTTTGGCTAGTGCCCTGAAACACCGAAGCCTCCTACATGGAAGGATCAATGCAGAAACCCTGGGATTTGACCGCTGCCTGCCGGGAGACGACCACATCGAAGCGTACAGAGACTACCGCTGCTGCAAGAGCTGCTCCTGTTGCTCCTGTTGTAGCTTTTGCTGCCCCTTTGTCAGGAGGGAGAAGCAGCGGTCTAGAACGAGGTTCAGAAGAAAGGTAGGGTGGCTCGCTCGTCCGGCTCCAAGAACCATTGGTTTGTTTCCACGTGGTCGACTGGTCAAGACCGCCATTGTCGTAGCAGCTGCTTCTGGTGGCAGGAGCAACAGATTCATGCGCAGAAGCAGCATCAGATGGCTTCAGATGTATCTGCAGCTGCCCGCCTGTAGAGCCACTGTCCTCAGGAACACCAGAGAAAGCCCATGATGTAGGATGTAGCTGTTCAAGCAAGAGGTACTTACCCTCGACAAGAGAGCCCCTACCCACAATCTTTTCCTCACCGAAGTTGCTGACAAGCTGTACTGTCTCTGCGCGTATGTCAGCCACACTTCGATTGGAGGA